ACAGGCTCTTTCAGGCTTGGCTTTGCCGACACACGTGTGGCGTTATTGGATGTTCTTAACTATGCGCGTAGCCATTGTTAAGGTTTGCATCTCGTTTATTCTTCACTATTTGTTTAGTAGTACCGCACTTCACCAATTGTTGTTAATATTGGGAGTCGACGTACGCGTTACCATTGGATACAGAGTCAAAAGATGCATGAGACTCTAAGCATAGCACTTTAACGCCCAAATTATTGCTCAAATAGGAGAATTTACCTGCTTGAGATGACGAAGCTTCACACGTGGATCCATAGATCGGTCAAGAAGGATATGATTGAGGAGCTGTAGGAGTTCAGCTGAACTTTCCAGCTTGGCTAGGCGCTCATGGTCGTCCTTGCAAATGAAAAGGAAAAACAGCAGTTTAACGAATGTCCCTGATTTTACGTCTTAAGGTGCTTTGTCTGGATAGTAAAAAGTCACTAAGTGGGAAATCGGTCATGATTTGTATTCCTTAGCAAATCTTCTGGTATAAAATGGACATTATATGGATATTAGGAGTATTCTAGTTTAAAGAAAGTAAGCAGCAACTCAAAACAGCCAAAATATAATACCATAGAGCAGACCTATAACAGTAACTCTCGTCTAACCGCTAATCTGATCATAATGGTCGATCCAGTCGTACATGGGTGACTGATACCAATCCTGATGGAGCGAAGGATTACCGGCTTTGCCTTGTGTTACAAGTGACCCAGTCAACGAGACTGCAAGGTGTGGAATCGGAGTTTTGTGATGATACTGCCCGCTTCCCTACGGACAGGCTATCATAGATTACAGTCAGCTCAATGTGCGTTTGTGTAGTGGCCGACTGGCAGTCAGGCTGTGAGTAACCCTCCTTAACGTGGTCTCTAGCACTCACACATGATTGATGTGAGCCCCTTTTGTGCAAAATCCGGGTGCTATTATGGGGGGGGGCTCAAGTCGCTTGCGTGGTATGAGCAGACAAAGTCATCACGTATGTTGTCAGTAGCTGAATTCATTCTGCACAGCAGTCAAATGATCAGCTCGAACAGTTGCTGGGCCTGAGAATAAGGAGTAGAGTCGACGGCTCAGCACATTTTTCTCACCATAAATAATATGACGCGCTTGGAGTTATCACGGTGTGCTAGAAGCTGTGGCCTGGAAAGTTTCCAACTGGCAGGATAACTCGGACCGCGCAGTCAGCCCCGCGTATTTTTTTTGTGGGGCGGTGGACTGAGAGTCAGGCTGCATTGGTTTCTTCTAAATGTGGCCTTTATGGGACTCCCACTTCGTGGGATTGGGCTCGGGTGTGGCGGTGCACACGGGCACGACTCTGGTCGCGCCGAACACCAACACTGACTCGCCGTAGCAAAATATACTAAGAGGGGCACTCAAGCCTGAGGGACAACTCCACGTCCGAAATTACGGAATTTGAAAATGGAACACTAAACTCGTAGGGTCGTAGTCTACGGCATAACAGTGAAGACAGCATACAAGCTCGCAGGATGCCAAGGCTGCTACTTCATGTCTGGCAATCGCCCTAAGATAACTGCACTTGTGAAGAGGAACGGCGACTATAAGCAAAACATATAATGATTATTTGTATGGCCACATAAACTGAAGACGCGAGTAGGAATCGCCAGCAGTACGAGTGGCTCTGTGTCCAATTTCGGGAAAATCACGGTTAGGTACAAGGCTGAAGATGAAGGTTGGGGTTAGGGTTATGCTTAGCGCTAACCTGAAAATTAGAATTTAAGGCAAAGTTAGAGTTTAAATTTATGTTAGAACCTGTGTCAGAGATAAAAAGCATGAATATTCATCCTTCCTGAAATTACGCAGGGGGCCATTTGCACTACTTGCACGGGGAATTAATATCTCCATACCCGTTTAAGAGGCAATTTAAGTGATCCTTACAGAAAAAAAATAGATGGCTTATACCATCAACGACCGAGCAATAAGATATTACCTGATACTATTTTACGTAAATCATGAAGAACCACCCACGTTCAACAGAGATTACTGACACAGAGGCTGCTAAGTCAGAGTTAAACAAAATGAGACATGCCAAAAATCCGCAATCATCGTCCAACAACCAGAGTATGTAAGCCTAGTTAACGGAGAGATTAAAAGGGGGTGAGAGAGAGAGACAGATCACTTACTGTCTGACGCCAGCGACCCAGGTTTAGGGCAATGTTGGAACGAAGTCGATGAGCCTCTGTGGAGCAGGCCTTGGTGGTAGTTTTATCTGTTTGTGACAGGTTTGTAGAATCGCCAAGGGGCGCAGAGAGCAGGGAAGGACAGACAGAAGAGTAGGAGCTGTCTGTCAGTGTGGTAAGGTTCACAGTAGATAAGGCCTTGCAGATTTCGCCAATAGGAGCCGAGGTCTGCAGGCCAACCGATTTGGTCCGCTTTGACTGGTCCGAAGGGGGCTAAAAACAAGAGGCGAGGAGGATAGAACCTTCAGCGATGAAAGAAGTCAACCATAACCCAAGAACAGCTGCTCTCGGACACACAGTTTAGTTCTACCGAGATAAATGCTACACCAGTTCATCTTCTTTTGAAAACACCGTCTCGTGTGTGTCTGTTCGATTAAAACCCTTTTTTTCGTTGACGGGCTTAACAGTATGCCAAATACGTATTACACTGCGGTTACTACTATACAGTATACTAGATATATATACTACTTATATAATTTAACACCCTGATGGTTGGACATTGAAGTGCGCACATTGCCATATAAATGTCAAGCATCCACCGTTCGACATGTAGTTCGTACAAGCTGACAGTCATGCCAGCGGCTTTAAAGCTCGGCCTACAAAGGCCAAAGGATTTTGAGTCATCACCCTGGTCTGACAGTTATCACCATACGATCGCTAGAACAGCACATGTTCCAGCGATCCCATCTTCGTTTTCTCAATCGCCCTATGGAACTGGCTTGTTTGGCGTGCCATAATAATAGTCATACCAGTGACTTTTAGTCCACTTGACACCATTGCCTGCTTGGGGTAGTCCTCCCTAACATCTAATACCGGTAACTTTTGCTAAGGCCATAGTAACCCGACAGACAGATCGGTGGCTCAAAGGCTATTCTGTGTATGCGGATGTGGTAAATGGAGGTAGTGCATAATCCAGCGTGTCAATTGCGGGGTTCACATCTCCGCCTCCATCCAAATTGGTAAGGGTAAACACAAGAAATACGAAATTTTCGTCGTTGCAAGTCTCTGCGCTACCGATGGCCCCCATTTGATTATCTTACCCAAATAACTCTTATTTTCACAGTTCCCATATTGCACGTGGCGTGGAAAGATTGGGAGACGGGGGAGGGTAGTAATGAGCTTGCCTAACTCTATTATAAAAACGGCCCTAGAAAATTAATGCTCGAACTTGGAGTGAATTTTTCGGAGAAAGGTCACTAAGACTCGCTCCGAAATTGGATGACTGAGCTGCAATCCATTGGCAAATGCGGAATAATCGCCAACTGCCAGCCAGTTATGCACAAACAATGAATGACGCCAAAGGTACGCCCAGGCACGCGTATCTCACCGATCAGTGAACGACACAGTTACGGGAAGTAATGTTCATCGGTGGATGTGAGGGCTAAATGTTGCCCGTCAGAACAGTTTCGGGCTCGTGCTGACAATTCGGAGAACCTGGCCGACTCTCTACTGTCAAAGCATTGACTGTCACTATTGATCAGCGATTCGAATATTTGGCTGAACTTGTCGGACCTGGGCTAATCCATTTTCTTCTTTCGTTCGCTGCCTCGGCCCTCGAAACAAAAGCACGTCCGGTGAGCAACAGTACGTTCTCATATTTCTCTTCCAGAGCTCCCAACTTTGCGAACTTGAGCTCATCAGCGGATCCTCCACTGTTCTCCTTGCGCATTCAGGTAAACAAACGTCAGTTTCCATACAGTCGTACGTATTGCAAGTCACGCAGCATTCATGTGCTACTGAATACCTGTTGTCAGCGTGTGGACATTACGCGGCTATTCAACAGTAGCTGGCGGGCCTCAGCATAAATATTCACGTCAACTTTTGAAGGATTAACTTCGAGTTCGCGTATTACTTTCCGAGCGGATAGCGTGAAAACTGAAACGTTGGGAGGAACGCTGGGAGATTCACTGACCTGCCGACTTCCTCAAAATTGCGCTATGCAGCAGCGCGAAATCGGCGAAACACGTGTGCATTACACCGCAGCAAAAGAAGCAAAAAAAGAAAAAAACGGATTTAGTTATGGTACAAACCTCAATTGGATTGAATTTCTCCACCTTGTCGCAGTCGAGACCGAAGACAGAGGTCATAAGGCAGTCAAAGTTTCGAGCAGGCCTTTCAGGATTCAATAAGTGACATAGAAAACGGATGCGCCAGTCTTCCTTTTCCTCGGCTTCGGTGGAAGACGGCAGAGGAAAAAGGGCAGACGAGAATGTAGACGCGAACTGAAAGGGGAATATATGTAAAGAAAAACAGCTACTTCAAAACAAAAGTAGTCAGGCGTGATAACAAAAGTATTAGCGCAGTCGTTCTTACGAAGTCGATGTTAGCGTGAGGTCCGCCTGTGGTATTATTGGAGGAAGATAGTAAACGCCTGATAGAACAAACAAAGGCCACGAGAATGCCACGAAGAAGGGGAGGGAACATGGCAATGAGCAGCATGAGTGTATCCTCTTCTGTGCCTCCAGAACTATTCCCAACTCTGGAAGAGACCGAGCGATTTAGCCAACTGGAGTCTGCGAAGGACCACGACCTTCTGAAACACAAATCACACTTTTTCGTGTCAAAGTTACAAATTCTGTGCAAATTAACGAAAACTGTTGCTTTAGGGAAAAGGACAACTACGAACTGCCGTTGCACTTCTCCACGCCTCAAAACTAGAGCACCAAGGGAAATCAGTAGGGATTGTTTATATTTATAGGTCAATATTTTTACACGTTCCCTACTCATTAAAATATACTATGTAAAGCCTGCTTACATAGTCCTCACCAGAGGCTGCGATGGCTGCAGCATGATGTTTATTGGCTTGACATGTCGGATCCCCGCTCAAACCCAGCACTCGAGATAGTCAAGCATAAAATATGAAGGCACAGCGGGTGCAGCACTTACAGGACGCAGTTGTCATGCCATCCCACATACCTAAGCCCACTATCACACCTCGCGTTTATCGCTGGAGGTCGTACCTGAGCCAATGATTACTTGTTAATCCGCGTTTGAACAGT